TCTCTCTCTCTCTCTCTCTCTCTCTCTCTCTCCGGTTTCCTCGCGCTCTCGTTGCTTTATTCTGGCTGCGGTTCCCCCGGTTGAGCACGAAGCGCTTTTAGCGTTTAAGAACCGTCTTTTATAATCCCTGCGTTTTCTTTGCATAAACCCGCAATGCTGCGACCGGGGAGCGTCAACATGTGACGAGCCAATAATGAGCGTTCCGTTTGGAGAAAAACAGACGCGACTTCTTAGCGCGCGGCTGAACGAGCGAATGTGCTGGAAATCTCCGGATCTGTCGATATGAGGAGATGATCAGAGCGCGTGTGTGTATCGATCGTGTGATTCATATGCGGTACAGTTTGTTCCTGCTGGGTTTGTTCCAGTGGAGAACATGTCTGTGGCGTCTGCGCGACATCTAGCGACAGCAGCTCGAGCGCACACTGTTGCTCATAGTTCAGGAGAGCATAAAATATTAACATACACGACCAGTCAAAAGAAGTCTCTTCTGCTCACCAAGCCTGCATTTATTTGATCAAAAGTACAGCAAAACCAGTAATGTTTTCTATGTGAATGTGTTAAACTGTAACAGCATCATTCCTCCAGTCTTCAGTGTCACATGATCTTCAGAAATCAGTGTAATCTGCTGCTCGAGATTATTATTTTGTTGAAAACAGCCTTTTATGAATAGAAAGTTCATAAGAACAGCATTGATCTGAAATAGAAATATTTTGTAACATTATGAATGTCCTTGTTAAATAAAAGTATTAATTTCTATAATTTCGTATATGCTTATTTCTTCTAACGAAATGCTTCCGTGTCATCAAAACTAATTAATGTGCCTCTGAGAGCTAGATGCTCAGTTTTCTGGATGAATGCATTATTTATTTAAACACACAATTGGTAAATATAATACAAAAACACTGCAAAGTCACTTTGGATAAAAGTGCAGATGAAATGCATGCTGTGACAGTCGAGGGTACAGCTGGTCTGTGGCTGAGAGCCAGAAACGTGTGTTTGCAAGATGTTACAGTAGATTTACTCAGTTGTTCCTTGCATCAGCTGTTTACTCGCAGCCTGCAGTTACATCACGAAACTTTTTCTTTTCTTCAGCCAATAAAAGACAAGCTGTGTTTGTTGGCCCAAAAGACCCGCCACAGTTGGTTGTGTCCGAGCGTCGCAGCTCTGTCCCGCGGGAGAGACACTGAACTAAAGACTGCTCGAAGACGGACTCTGGCACAGATATCGTGAGGATGGAAGCAGGACGCCTCTGTGTTGAGCGAGCAGTGGGTGAGTTATCTCAGAAATATTAATAATTAGTCATATTGGTAATTATTTCAAGGGGTCATGACATGCCTTAATATATGAATATGCAATAAAACAGTCGTATATTTGCAAAACTATGATTTTCAACCCTCATTCTGAGCAGAAACACAGTTTAAGAGTTTGTCAGCAGCTGCGAACATCTCTGCGAAGGGAAAATATCAGTGCATGCGAGTAACTGCTGCAGTTTTAATGCACGATTCTCCCACAACTGCACAAATATATCATATGTTACACTAAAATGTTAGGTTTACTATAGTTAAGATACATAATATACTATATGTGACCCTGCAGCACAAAAGCAGTCTTAAGTCTGTATGGGTCACAATTATACATTTCTCTTTTATGCCAAAAATCATTAGGATATTAAGTAAAGATCATGTTCCATGAAGATATTTAGTAAATTTCCTACCGTAAATATATCAAAACTTAATGTTTGATTAGTAATATGCATTGCTAAGAACTTCATTTGAACAACTTTAAAGATGATTTTCTCAATATTTAGATTTTTTTGCACCCTCAGATTCCAGATTTTCAAATAGTTGTATCTCAGCCAAATATTGTCCGATCCTAACAAACCATACATCAATGGAAAGCTTATTTATTCAGCTTTCATGTGATGCATACATTTTTTTAAAGACACTTAAAGCAGCACTATGTAACTTTTTCTGTGTTCAAAATATGCTAAATGTATATAATGAGCGAGTAAGTGCTTATGTTCGGACTATTGTAGGCTGGTCACCGCTGCGGAGGAACACACACCTGCGTGAATCGCCGGAGACAGAACTTAGAGAAGTAGCTCCGGTCGGAATGTTCCTCCGCGGGATGTGTGCAGTTCTGTTTATTAACCGCTAGCGCGTTACATAGTTACACAGTGCTGCTTTAAAACTGGTTTTGTGCTCCAGGGTCACATATAT